CTAGGCCCTTGAGCCGTGAAAACCAAACTGTAAACATATTTAATACAGTGATTACATCGGCCCTTTACATAGCGCTGTTAATTATCTCCATCATGACATTGTGCGCTATCAGAAGACATGAAGCCACCTTTCGGGCTAGGAGAAGAATTACCCCGTTCGACATGAGATCAGCTGCTGAAGCAAAGATAACAGATAAAGTTTTGTTAGCCCTTACAATAGAAATCCTTCTTATTTGGATGCCTTTTGTAATAATCAAGCTCGTGGAATTTCCAACCCAGCCGGCAGTCATGGCTATTCCACGCCAGGCCCATCTGGCTTCCACTTTTCTTTGGTTTGCTGTCGCTGTCCTTCACCCCGTCACATATGGGGCTTTGTACAGACCGTTTTCAAGAGAACTGCTGAGAATTGTGCCGACTAGATTGCGCCAAAATAAGGCACATGCTGAACATGCCATCTGACATGATTATACTGACGTCCTGGACTGTATCTGAAAGCGGTTAAGCAAGTTGAGCTTTTGCAAGTTTGCAACACTGCAACAAATAGTCACGTCCTGTAGTCCTTTGATTTTTGTATTAACATAACCATTTAGTCTGGTAAATGTATAGCCACGACAATTTAAATATAACGACTGTTTTGTTTAAGAATTCTTGGCAGTAATGAAATAGTAACTTCAAAGTAAAACAGATGACTCAAGCAACCTCGTTTCCAGGACTTTTAGCCCTAGGAACAAGGTTCCCGCGCAAGGGGCCCCACCGAATAAAGGAACTATAGAGCACGCGCCGATTACATTTTGATGACGCGGGTCCCTTCTCATTTTTATTCCCCTTCATCTAGCTGGTGTTTTTCAGATATAATGACATTAATATGACAGTAAAACAGATTATAATACCTCGCCCGGCTCAAGGCGAAGGAACCTGGCATAAGGTATGCTATGAATGCTAGGAAACCAGCATTCCTTTGTGGTACTTTCAGTTTTCGCCGCTTGCATCCCCTCGTGAGTTCGTCTTTTAAAATTTGTTCACTGTTAATTGGTCACTATATAAAACGTTTCTGTGTAATCAAGGCAAACGTTTCAAAACTTGGGTGGTCTTGAGTTAGACGCTGGAGGAAGCGTGATCGCTGACACTCGATGGGCTTTAAGTTAGTTTAGTAAATTAAGTTGACGTAAAAAGGCTTGCAAACTACCTAAGTGTAGCAACAACAAGAACAATTTATTTCATTATTCCCATACGAGTACATAGCATTACCTAAAATATAATATAGCAATTATATTGTAACTAAATTACAATAATTTAAAATATATTCTGTCTGTAATCCATGCATGAATGTATATAGACGCTAAGCAGCTGTATTGAATGGAGCGTTTCACGATTCGGCGCATGTCTGCATTATTTATTCTCCCGTACAGGCTTTTTGGCACAGGCCCAGTTTTTCATTGTTTAAGAGCCAATCGTAAGCAAGTTACCTAATTTTTCATGCGAATAGCCGTAAAATCATCAACCATAGGATACATCGCACGGGTCAACACTAAATTCAATGGTCGACAGCGTCAGCAAAATCCACTGAAATCTTCTCAGAATTTTGGTCATTCGCCATTCTTCCACGACTAACTATAGTATGTGCCTAATGAAGTACATCTGAATGGGGTTTTAAATCGATAACATTAATAAGAAACGAACAAAAAAATATTTTGATCTACAGACATGCACCGAACCGGGAAACCTCCCTTTTAAGTTTGCAGAATAAGGGGCCAACATTATTAAAAAGAAAAATATAAAAACCTTCAAGCGTGAGTCATCGTAAAGGTGACAGGAAAGTAGAAAATGCACTATTCATGTTTCAGTCCGTGACCGATGACAAGACTCTGCTCCTCAAAGTGTATCGTTTACTTATAGATTATAACACAGGCGGCCCAGACATTGAATACGATTAATACGTGACATTATGCTGTTGGCGATTGCCTTACAAATTTAGCCGTTTATAAAGACAATGTATGAGAATGCTTCGAAAATTACTCTAAATGCTACGTGTAGAAAATAATTTGAATAAAATGACTTACCTTATGTTTGCATTGCGTT